AATGTTATATGTAGCTGAGCGAATTCAAAGCTGAATGGTAAATTGAGTGACAGTTGGACGAGAAGAATAGTTTCTGAGCCAGACAGGGGTCCGTTCAAGGTGGTCTCTATTCGATCGGATTTGCTCTCCCCGTGAACAATACATTGTCGACGGCGGACAGGATCAGTATAATGGCGAGGTTCTGGAGACAGGAAGGAGGAGAAACTGGAGAGAGGAGGGCAAGAAAAACTGCGGAAGGGTGACTTTTCTTCAATTTCATTCTGAGCAGGAAAATTCGAGCGCTCAACTTACTACTATACTTAAAGTGGAAATATGATGGTAAAAGCATCTTATGGGAGAAAGCTATTAAAAGACTATTACTTTAAATTACTTGAAGGTCGTAACAGCAGGTAGCTGGTAGTTTCGTTTATTCCAGAAGTAAGTAAAGCGAAGAGAGAGCCAAATGCCAGCAATTTTTTTTTACTTTTGTGCCTTGTAAAGAAAAAAGAGAAACGAAAACTAGTGGTCAACAGCAGCACAACAGCCTTTAGAATATTCCAGCTGCACGGAAGATTTGCTCCCGAACAGCAACATTCAACATAATCTCATTATTGCTACAATGATTGGATGATTATGATGCTGTAACGAATTTATGGCCGATCGAATGGACAACTGGCACAAATAGTCACAACAGCATACATTGAGTTAGGTCTAAGGTAGCTACTGTGGTAAAGAGCTAAAAATGGTAGCTATTCGGTTTTGAGAGGATAAACTGCCAAACTCCACCCTAAATTGTCCCCAAATGGGTAATTTTCAATATCGATTTGAAGTATGAGTAGAGTTAAAGAAAAATCCTTTAATTGTGATTTTTTACCCAGTAAAGTACGGCAGCTCGGAGATAATGATCAAGTGACTAGTAGTAATTACCAGTTACGCATTTTTTCGGGTAATATGGTCCCCGTACGCTAATGACCTCTTCTGCATGTATGATCGCAAACAAAGTTATTGTGCTGTTGTCAGGTCATCTGGATATTTGGGTACAAAAATAGAGGCAGGACACCTCTCTGTACTATTTTATAGCAAGTGGTGGAAAAAGCGTTAACGAGTAAGCAAAAAAAAAACCCCAAAAAAGCACCTATAACTCATCCGATCAACCTTTAATCCAAGCAAATAGAAGAAATTCCTCGCATTTGCCAATTATTTTCCGACAAAACATCTGCCCCTTAGGTTGTGTTATTCGCTTTGTTCTCCGCTGGAAATTAGTCTCACGTCCTAAATGACCGTTTCAATACTTCGTAAAACTTGCAGCTGGTACGTAACATGTGGAAAAACTACACTT